ATATATATATATATATATATATATATATATATATATATATATATATCTCAAAAACTTAAGAAACTAGACATCAAAATACCAAATAATCCAATCAAAAAGTAGGGTAGAGATCTAAACAGAGAATTCTCAACAGATGAATTGCAAATGGCCGAAAGACACTTAAAGAACTGCTCAACATCCTTAGCCATCAGGGAAAAGCAAATCAAAATGACTCTGAGATTCCATCTTACAGTTGTCAGAATGGCTAAGATCAAAAACACTGATAATAGTTTATGCTGGAGAGGATGTGGAGTAAGGGTAACACTCCTCCATTGGTGGGAATGCAAACTTGTACAGTCACTTTAGAAATCAGTATGGCATTTTCTCAGAAAATTGGAAATCAATCTACCTCAAGACTGAGCAATACCTCACTTTGGTATATACCTAAAGGATGCACACTCATACTACAAGAGCATTTGCTCATCTGTGTTCATAACAGCATTATTTGTAATAGCCAGAACCTGGAAACAATCTCTGTGCCCCTCAATCAAAGCATGGATAAAGAAAATGTGGTCCAAATATACAATGGAGTACTACTCAGCTGTGAAAAAAGTCATATTGAAATTTGCATATAAATGGATGGAACTAGAAAAAAAAAACATCCTGAGTGAGATAACCCAGACCGTGAAAGACAAACATAGCATGTACTCATTCATAAGTGAATACCAGATGTATAGCAATGGATAACCAGCCTATAATCCACAACCCCAGAGGAACTAGGTAACAGGGAGAACCCTAAGAGAAACATACATGAATTACCCTGGGAAGGGAAATTAGACAGGATCTCCTGAAAAAAATTGGGAATATGAAGGGGGTGGGGAGAAGGGAGGGCAGAAGGGCAGTGGAAAGGGAGGAAAGAGGAAAACATGAGGGAGCGAGATGGTTAAGATGGATGAAGAACAAGGAAAGAGATATCTTGATTGAGGGAGCCATTATGGAGCTAGCAAGAAACCTGGCACTAAGGAAATTCTCAGGAAACTACAAGAATGACCCCAGCTAAGACACTAAGCAATAGTGAAAAGGGTGCCTGAATTGGCCTTGCTCTGTAATCAGATTTATGACTATCTTAATTATCATCATAGAACCTTCATCCTGCAGTTGATGGAAGCAGATGCAGAGATCCACAGCTAAACACTGAACCGAGCTTCTGGAGACCAGTCTAATAGAGGGGGGAGCGACAATGTGAGCAAAGGGGTCGTGACCATAATGGAGATATTCACAGAAACAGCTGACCTGAGCTAGTGGGAGCTCACTGACTCTGGACTGATAGCAGGGGAACCTGCAAAAGACCAAACTAGGCCCTCTGAATGTGGGTGACAGTTGTGGCTTGGGTAGTCTGTGGGGACACTGGCAGTGGGACCAGGATTTATCCCTAATGCTTAAACTTTTTGGAGGAATACCTTGCTCAGCCTAGATATAGGGAGAGGGCCTTGGTCCTGCTTCAAAGTGATGTGTCAGACTTTGTTGACTCCCCTTGGGAAGCCTTACCCTTTCTGAGGAGTAAATGGGGGGCTAGGATGGGGGGGAGAGATAGGGAGAGTGGGAGGAAGGAAAGAAGTGGGAACTGGGGTAGTTATGTAAAATGAGAAAATATTGTTCAAAAATACATTTCACACTAAAAAAGAATCCAGCAGTGCACGTTTGCTTACATATCTGCTCTGGTAGCATATACACTACAATGGCAGTATTGCTTAATTGCATGGTTTTGGAAGCATAAACTATTTTTGACATCTAGGCCTTTAATAAAAAAAATCTAACTTCCATTTCCTTGTATTTATTTTTATATCCAGTTATGTTTAAAAAGATTTCAACTCTGTGAGATACGTAGAGAGAAGGAAAAGACTAAGAGAATACACACAGGCATTTTAAAACAGGGTTCTCTGAAAGTGTGTGGTTGGGCTGGGAGGGTGAACGGGAAATTCAGCGAGCGCCAACTACTCGCATACACCGTCACCAAAAAACAAACTCGAGTTTCCGGAGTGCCACATGGTTATGAAGTTATTAAAATGCTGTTCTGCCCTGTATAGGCATGAATTACTCAGCACCAGGAACTAGCAAGCTCAGAAGAACAGGAAATGCCGCGTGTCCACCACCACCACACAGAAACCGCTTACAGCAAGACTGGCTACACTGCCCATTGTTCACAGGTCAATGGAGTCTGGACAGAACTGTCGACAAATCGATGTAACACAGTCTCCAGGGAAGAAAGGCAGCTGGTCTCTACCACGTCAAGCCAACCATGTGCCAAGAAATTAATACTGTTGAACAGACAAGTTGGGTTTCTTTTTTATTTCTGTCTTAATTATTTTTAATGGTATGTCTGCATATGTATACCTGAATATGAGTGCCCATGAAGGCCAAAAGTATAAGTTCTCCCCGGAGCTGGTGTTACACAGTTTGTAGCCACCAGATGTGGTTGCTAGGAATCTCTGAAAGAGATTCTGAACCTCTGAAAAAGCAGCATGCATTCTTAACAACTGAACCACCAATCCAGCCTCTAGAATTTTTCTTTCTTTCTTTCCTTTTCTTTTTACATGTAAAATGCCATAGCCATGAAATCTACTGTGGTCCATAATTATAGGCATTTCTAGATAGCCTAATCTGGGTATCAAACGAACTGAGTTTTTCTGTGAAAGGAAAATATACCTGTCAAGACCCAAAGCCAGCATTATTGGTTAATACTACAGTGTGCTCAATATCATTCTTTGCTTGAGAAACCGTACTGTTTCAGGACTCATAAGCTGTGAAACCAGACATCTGCATCCTTCTTCAGACTCAGCTACCAAAAGTGTGGTACCCAGAAGAGAATCGAAATCATCCTACCTCATAGTCATCACAGTTAGGAACAGAAAATTCAATATATGTCTTTTCTAGGAAGGAGTCAATAAATAGCAGTGATTAGAACCAAAAGACAGACACCGAGGCCATTAGACTCAGAAACTGGGTCATCAGTGACAGGGAGCAACACGAGATTTTCATGGCAGGGTATAATTTTCTTTTGTTGAAAGTAATGATTCATGATTTGATATCAGCTATTCCGTGGTTTTCTTACTCCTCATACATGATTTCCTTCCCATATCTGAAACACCAGGAGGATAACTATGCATGTCACTCCCTGGACACTTCTGACATCAACCTGGGGGGCAGTTCCACTTCCCAGTGGGAGGTTCAGTCACAAAGACGATACTTTTCTATAGTAGAACAGCAAGGTCATAAAAAACCACGAATTTCTCAATTTTCAGATTAATTGAATGACTTCCATCTGTGTCTTCATAGGCTTTTCATATTTTTTCCAGTAGAACATACTAAAAACATTAAATGCTGATGGCAGATATTTTCTTAGTTGCCCCAGGCCAATAACCTGTTCCGTAGAGTCTGAGTTTTTGAGAATGCATGCATTAACTTAAAGGGTCTGTGGTTTGGAATGAATCTGAATGGGACCTCAAGAAAATGCGGCCAGCAGTCCACCCTCCCCGTGCCTCCTGTAACAGCACAGTAGGCCCTGTGTCCTTGCTAAGGTTACTTATGCGCTTTGCTGTCACTCACAAACATTACCATCAACACATGACAGTTTTTATCCTGTACTGGGCATATTTCTGTTCTCTCTCTACACAAATTTGAAATCTACGAGAAGCGAGACATTATTCATTATGAAATCCTTACATCCTTTATGTATAGGAGTAAAACATGTAGTAAATATTTATTGATCAAATAAATGCAATTTATTTTCTTGTTTTTTCCTTTTCTCCTAGGAACTGAGGTAGAAGCACTGTTCAAAATATTGTGTAGCCCTACTTTGCTGATAATTTACACATACATTTGCCAGACACAGAAGGCCATAAGGGGAGAAGGGGAAAGAATATATGAGCTACAGCAGACCTTGAAGTTATCCAGATAATCTACTATCCTTAGTAAATGGGCAAACAGAACAGAGTTACGGGCAATGTCCCGAAACAAAGGTCTATCCTGTCACATCCATCAGCAAACAAACTGCCACTCCCAATGTATGATCTCTGTAGGAGACAAGATTGATGCCTTTGTTCTCTGTTCTCTCAGTCACAGAAGACAGAACCCCTTGAAAGGGGCAAAGTGAAAGATTAATGGGCCTAGAGGAACTGTTTACCCAGCCTCTCCTGACTCCTTGGTACGGTGAGGCTCTCTAGGGGAGGGCTCGTTCAGCGTGCACCAAGACTTAGATTTGATCTCAAGTAAAACATATTAAGCTGAATTAAATTTAAAATGAAAAAACAAAACCTTGTCAGTTTCCTTTTACGTAGGCATCCCCATACTCCAATGCATTTGGCCAAGACAGACCTCAGAGTAAGACAAAGGCCAATACGCAGCGCAGCCTGGAATATCCAGCACATCTACTCTCTAGCATCTGTAAACAATATTATGTGAGTAGTGTTTTAAATATTCAAAGTATTGGTCACCATCTTCCATTTAGGAACTATGTTTAATTACCATAATTTATCATGAGGTGTTTAACATCTCTCAGAATGAGCCATAAATGTAAAAATATACTCACTTTCCAACAAGACCTGTTAGAGTTTCATAATCCTCTTTGCTGCTTAGGATCTCTTGTCTCTCTCTCTCTCTCTCTCTGTCCCATATATATTTATATACAAATGTTATTTATAATACTACTATCAGTAATAACATTTCAATAGTGTAGTATCCTCAGTCCTTATCCATGCTGTTTTTACATATGACACATATCATATAGACTACATATAATATACTTTATATCAGATATATATTTTCCCATGTACTATGCAGTATATATTATATACTTCATATAATACAAATTATATGATATATAATGTGTCTTGTTTAAGTGTGGAGAGATCACTTCTTTTGAGCTCTACCCTCTCAATATAGTACACAAACAATATTATCAAATATAGGCATTATATTTTGCAGAAAGCATCTATAATTTATTCATCTTGTATACTCTCCACCACCACCACCCCCGGTAGCCCTTGGTAACCATTCTACTTTCTGCTTTATGAGTCTGTTTTATTTTTCAGACTGCTGAGGTGGGGGGTGGGGTGCAAGCCATGGAGCACATAGAGGTCAGAGGACAGCGCTATGCAGTCAGTTCTCACACTGCACCTTTACATGGACATCGGGGATGCACTCAGGTTATCAGAGCTTTGTTATTTTGATGGTCGCAGGGAACACCATTAAAAGTATTTAATAAGGGGCTGGAGAGATGGTTCAGCAGTTAATAGCACTGGATTCAATTCACAGCACCCCAGTGGCAGCTCACAACTGTTTGTAACTCCAGTTTCAGGGGATCCAACACCCTCGTACAGACATGAGTGCAGGTAAAACACCAATGTACATGAAACAAAACTAAATTATAAAAAAAGTATTTGGTGCAAGCTATTTCTCCCATACTAATGAACATTGAAGTCATTTATCTAACCATTTCATTAAGCAAACTCATGGGAGCACAACTGCTGGGTTAAATAAATAGTATTTGTTGGTTTCCTCATAAAAGAATTATTATACTCCTATAATTCACCTCAGTGAACAAGAAGAATAAGTCATGGGTTGATTTTTTTTGTTGCATTTAGTCATTTATTTGCCTGCATATATATATGTGTGTGTGTGTGTGTGTGTGTATAAAATGTTTGAGGATAGGGAATATGCCATAGCACACATGTGAAAGTCACAGGACTTAATACAAGTTGGTTCTCCCACCTTATGGACCCTAAGGCTTGAACTCAGATCTCCAAGTTTGACAGCAAGCTTGACACTAGCCCTAAGGTTGTATTTTATAAAGCAACATAAAAAGACGGTTGAAGTGACCATACTATGAGCATTGCTGAAGCCCCATTCAGCCTAAGAGAGTGTCAGTAACCCCACTGACAACACAGAGGCAATTCATACCACTTCCGTGTATCAGTTTCAGTTCTCTGACTTTCTGGTTCTCTCTGTCCTTCTGACTATTTCTCTCTATCCCTCTCTGTCTTTCTGTTTCTCTATCTTTGTCTCTCTGTCTCTCTCTCTGTCTCTCTCTGTCTCTCTCTCTCTCACACACACACACACACATGGACTCTTTACAGAGTCCTGCTGATACATACTGTCTTGAGAGTTAACTAAATCACATTAGTGGAATCCACAGTGTGTCTCTGTGGTTTGCTGAAAGTAACCAAGACAGTAGTGAAATGTCATCACTGGCCATGATGAATACTTTCAAAACCATTAGCTCTTAAGCTCAAACCTCCATCAGACCTTCCACAGAGGCTAAACTTAGTCACATGGGCCAAAATTTCTCCAGCCACCTCTTGCTGTCTCTTCCATCAGTGGTCAATAAAACCAGATTTCTCATCTTAATAGATCTATTGCCACCACTAATTTCCATGAGTTCTAATACCAGTCTACGTAAGTACACATTAAAGCAAGCTATTCATATACAAAGCATGAAATGGGGAAATTTATAAAGATGAATGGGTAAAGTATTCAAGAATATACTTTCATTTAGCTTGTAATCAGTAAAGGTAAGGAAATACCATTTATTTTCATAATAAAATCCTTATCTTTAAATCTTCAAGAAGAAAATGGACCAGGCATTTTTTAAATCTTTTACTGCCAAGATCTAGAATGCAAAGAGCAGTGCACACAGAAAATAAAAGAATTCTCCATTCCAAAACCCCACGTGAGAAAGCTTTCCCACTGCTATCCTGTAAAAGGCCCTGGGTTTTGTTGTTGTTGTTGTTGTTTGTGTGTGTGTGTGTGTGTGTGTGTGTGTGTGTGTGTGTTTCAGCTGAACGTACACTGAAGTTCTACGATGGGAAGTTTCCACAGGTAGGTGTCTGTCCAAGGAGATGGTTCTCATGCACAGTCACAGAACACGACATGATGAGAATATTCCTGGTAGCTAGAGGGTTGGGTAGGAAGGAGGAAAAGGTTTGGACCAAAGCAATGAGCACCTGGGAACAGAGTCTAACCTTCCAGGGCTGGAGGGCTTACCCACTGTTCACACACTTCACTAGATCAGCCGAGAGTAAAAGAAAGTGATAGCAAACAGTCTAGTAACCTGATCTTTCCACTTCCTAAGTGTGAGAAATAGAAAGTAACAGGGTTCATCTACAGTGCTGTGTTGTGAAGCCATTTAACCAGTTAAAACCAAGCAATCTATTCAAGTTGTAAATACAAATGTCATCTCAGACTCCAGCACACCCAGTTTACACTATAGTTTATTTAATTATTTAGTACTATCTTGTTTATTAGTGGAATACCTATGCCTAAGCGGTGACCTGCCATAGTGCTTAAGAGCTCCGGTTCTGGAACCAGACCTTGATGTTCATACATGACTTGGTCATTTCATAACTGTATGGCATTCTTATGACTTTAACCTCTGTGTCTCAATTTCTTTGTCTGGGCAAAATACAAGTAATATTGATAAATATCATTTGGAACTACTGGAAGAATTAAATGAGGTATCACATGCGATATATTAAAAATTGTTGTGGCGTGTATTCAGCCCTCAATCTACATTAGTTCACATTATTTTATGGTTTTTATTACATTTTATTTTTGGAGGGCACATGTGCCTCTAGTACAGTGGTTCTCAACTCTCCTAATGCCGCGACCTTTTAATACAGTTCTTCATGTTGTGGTAACCCTAACCATAAAATTATTTCACTGCTACTTGATAACTGTAATTTCATTACTATTATGAATAGTAATGCAAATATCTGTTAAGCAATCCCCTATGGCTTCCTTTAGCTCTTGGCAAATCTCCCCTGTGTAAGTAGTTCTAAATAGAGTCTAATTTTTCCTTGATATGCAGGCCACAGAGATGCGAAGCATCTTTGGTTTCCAAAATACAACTGAGACCCCATGACACTGTTCTAAGACATTCTATTTAGGTCTAGTAACTGCATCATAATTAAAATTTGTGCCATACTGTAAATATGGGGCCACCAGAACGACTGATACTTGAGCATCTTATTTCTCCTTTCTCATGTGGTGTGCCCTGAGATGTCTCAAGAACACTATCCCCTCCTTGAGCTAACAACGTGATCTTTTTGTTATTTAGGATATTTTATTTAGCCTAAAATCCTAATGTATTTTCTTTTTAATTCATAATTTCACCATGCATATACCATATCTTGATCAAATTACGTGAATCTAAATATGATCTAAACAATCACAGAAAGGCAATAGGAAGCATTGAATACTGTTTCTATTTTCAAACATAAAGGCATGGTAGTTTCCAGAACAACATGGTGTTCAGTTTGATCCAGCCCTTATATTAGCAAATAAATTGTGAGTATTTAGAAAAATAAGCTCTGATTAGCATAAATAGATTAGATTCACTAAAAAATGTCACATCAACCTAATTATGTGCTTCAAAGATTTTCACTATAATACATGAATATGGTTTTCAAAATGTCAAATAGCCCTCAAAAGCTAGAATTTATAATGAAAATAGGAATATTTGATTCGTCTATTCCTCTTACACTTTCATGCTGCTATGATTAAAAAACCTTATAAAAGTAATTCAAGGGGGAAATTTTCATTTTGGATCATAGTTTCAGGGTACAGTCATCACAGGAGGGCATTACAGTGGGAGGAGACTGAAGAGGCAGCTGGTCAGCACATCTATAGTCAAGAAGCAGAGGGAGCAATGAATGCTGTGTACAGCCCACTTTTTCCTTTTTATATAGCCTAGGGAATGATGCCACCCACAGAGGACAGGTTTTCCCATCTCAAT